GACTTAGTGAAATCTTACCAATTCCTTATTGGTGACGTAGGTCTTACTGGAACGGCTGACGGCTCGACTGGTCTCTACGATGCCTCGTGGTCAACTGTACTGCTGACGGCGGCTTACTGGAATGGCTGACGGCTCGACTGGACTCTGCGATGCCTCGTGGTCGACTAAAACTCTTGCGGCGGCTTAATTCCTAAGCCCTGGCGATGCTTCGGCAGCGACTGCGTAGCTCTCCTAAGACGGACTTGTAAAAATCTTACTCAGGTGGTGGTGACGTATTGCTAGCTAGACGGCAGGCTGGAGCTCGGCACGACTGTTCCCTACTCTGGCAGGTCGAAGACTGGCGTACGCGGTGTGAATTTTCAGGCCATCGGCTTGGCGCTGCGCGGTGACGGACGGCGTTTGAAATGCCAATAACAATGCCGGTGCGGTAAACTATATTTATTAATTAAATTTAATAAAAACAAACCAAATGTGGGGTGTCGGAAAATCACTTCGTTACACCCCCTCTTACTTCCGCTAAAAAAATAAAAATGAAATTATTTTTTTTTCTCAAAAAACCCACTAGCTTACAAGGCGCATACCCCACACAGGTTAGTAAACTTTATTTGGGGATCTGTTCGCCTTTTACAAAAACAAAAACTAATTTCGGAAAAAAGATTCTATATAAACCAAGATAATTTATCCTCTACAGCTTTCAGTGCTGAACAGTATTTTACCCTAGAAAAGAAAAATAAAAACAAAATCAAACAAAACGGTCGTTCTGGTCGGGACGGGTTTCTGTTTTTAGGGCAGCAAGTTGCATTGGATGCTCTTGGAAGCGGTTTCGGTTAGGCGGAAAACGTCCGGGAAATAAACTTGCACTCCTCTTGATGCAGTCTGGTGTCCGGGAAGTGAACGTGATCGGTGTCGAGGAGTCACGGACAGGCGGCTTCTGCTGGTGATGGCATGCGGGCGGTTTTCGCATGTGCGAAATATCCATATCGTCCACATCGGGAACAAAACAAGCGGCGTGTCCGGGTACAGGTTTGGCAGGAATGGCCAGGATAGCCGCATCGCCAACATAACTCCCAACGATCCACTGGTAAGTAAAGTGGACAATCTCGGCTTGTTGGTGGCGAAGTCATTTGCAGATCCTCCCACTTGGCCTGGACTTGGTGGATTATTTCGGAGGTTACTTCTAATGAGTCAGTAACCACGGTAGCTGCTTGGAAAGAGATGGGTTGAATACCCAAATCGGGTTGTGCCTGTGGCGTTAGTATGAGCGGCGTTTCGGTGGGGGAGTTCGGCAATTTCCATTCCATAGGGACGGTGTGGGATAGTTCCTGGGCAGATTGGGTCGAGATTTCCTCGGAGATGTTCCGTGACGGTCCGGGTTGGTCGGTATCTTCCTGCAGCGCGTCTTCCAGCGCCAATAAGACTAGGTCCTGGTCGGCCTGGGACACATGTAGCTCAAGATTCGGTGCCTCCATCTGAAAGAAGATTTCGGCCTCGAAAATAAAAAATCATCTTTTATAGAAAATAAACTTTTATTTCTGTTGTAAGCTACAATAATTAACAATGCGAAAGGACGGATAATGAAAAATATAATTGTTTTTCGGGTGTTATTTTTCCCGGGGCTACACGGTCACCCATCTGGTTCTTCCGTCCCCGGTTTGACATCGGTACCGCCACCTTTCTGTCGGGGGTACGCCAACGGGAGGTACAGGGCGTCATCCCATTCCCGGGAGTTCATGTATTTGCCTATCTGGTCAGTCAGGGAGGCGGTAGGAGTCGGAGGTTGGCGACTCTTCGTGGCCGGTGGTGTCGGAGCCGGAGTCGGAACGGTGGTTATCTGGCGGTCGGGCGGCAGGGGAATATCGGCTAGGGAACAACACGAGGTTGCTATCGTTGTCCCAGAAGATGGTGTGCAGGTCTCCGGCTGGCTGGGTGGACCAGCTTTGACTGCGTATGACGTCTTCTGCCGGGTTCGGAACGGTTCGGAAATGATCGGAATCTCCAAATCTTCACTAAATCTTTCTTTTTGGTCCCTGCTCTGGCGCCAAATTTGTGACGTGTGGTATTTTCGTCGTTCGTCACTATGACGCCTGAGCGGCGACGGTTTCCTCGGGCGCCAGTTTCCGTTTATAGTGCAGAAACACCACTACACGGGCGGCTACAGTGAAGACACGGTATGTCCAGAGGGTCTAGAGAGAGTTAGACTTCACACAGGAATAAAAGGCCACAAATTGGTATAATATTTACATTTATTTATAGTCCAATTCTACCTATTTACACTATTCTACTCTATTGCTAAACGGTTATGGTTATATACAGGGTGACTACGGAAAACGGTAACGGCGGTGCGGTGTTAAGCGGTGACCTGACGAAAGCAAAGCACAGCAGAGCTAGCGGAACGGTTAAGGCGGTAAGCGGTAGTGCAGATACCAGAAAGAAGGAAGCGATCTAGCAAAGCAAAGCTACAATCAATAACTATAGACTAGACTTGGCTACTATCTTTACACAAAAGCAATAAAACAGTAACAGCGGGGCTCCTCAATCCTGGCAGGCGGCTGGCAGAAAATCTCTGAAAGAAAGATGGATTAGTTACGACCTGCGTTTCAACTCATAGGACAGAAAGGGAGGAAAGGATGACAACATCCTATCAGCCGAACGCGCAGTTAGGTTAAGTGTACCGGAAAGAGACAACAGTACACCCAACCACGTCGTACCTGAAAGAGAAACAAGATTAACTACGACCTGCGTCTCCACTCATAGAACAGAAAGGAAATGGGACACGACATTCTATCAGCAGAGCGCGCAGTTAGGTCGAATGCACCGGACAGTGACAACAATGCACCCTTCCTTGTCGTATTTCGGCGGTTCGGTACGACCTGCGTTTCAACTCATAGGACAGAAAAAGGGGGAGACAGCATCCTATAAGCCGAACTCGCAGTTTAGGTCCAGTGCACCGGACAGAGACAACAGTGCACCTTTCCTTGTCGTGGTACGGCGGATAACTGAAAAGGCAAGATATGATTAGTACAAGCGGACAGCAGCCAAGTCTTTACCTATGTTCCCTAAACCTTGATTCACTTCTCTTCCTGGGCACGTCTGGTCGGTCGGAATGCTGGAACAGGACTAACTCTACAGTACAATTATAACCTAACCTAACTTTTTTCCTGCGCGATGATGTTGATTGCGCAGGGGACTGTGGGACTTCTACCCACTACAACCCCTCCCCCTTGTTTTCCCTAAAGTAGGACTTGGGACTACCTTCAGGTATTACTTCAAGTCCACTTTTTCTCCTTAGTTTGCCCCGTTCGGCAATCTCCTCTCTTCTATCTCCTTGTTCCGCATAATTTGGCTTAATTTCCGGCTTAACTCCTCACCCCTTGCTCCTTCTTCTATTAGATTTACGACTAGATTATCCGGGGTCAACTCGACCCCCGCTATCAGGTTAATTTCCTCTCTTTCCCTGGCCCATCTTTCACAAACAAAAACCGTATGCTCCACGGTATCCACCATCTGGCGATAGACACAACCATCGCTATCCGCCACCTTGAATCTATACAGGTTTGCTCTGAAAGATCCGTGGCCCGTTAACACTTGTGTTATAAATTAGTTTGTTTCCCCGTATTTTCTATTTATCCAGAGTCTCAGGTCCGGGATCAACCTTTTCGTCCATCTAGCCCTTCCGGTGTATCTGCTCCACCTTTCTTGCCACTCGTTGAGGATGGTTGTTGTTATTTCCGCTCCTGGTCTTTCTGGCGTTTCCCTCCTCATAACTCTCTTCTTAACTTTCAGGTCCACGGGAATGTCCCCTGCGATCACCTGTAACGCTTCCGTCGACGCAATCCTATACGCGCTAGCCACCCTTATAGTTAGTCTTCTTTGGATACTTTCCAAAATCTTCCTATATTTACTATATCCCATCGCACCTCCCCATATCGGAGCCGCGTATAGGATTTTGGAGTACACCACCGTGGCTAAGAGCTTCCTCTTCCTAAAGGGACCCCCAACGTTTGGAAGTAGTCCATACATATTTCGTGTCGTTTTACCCGCTCTCTCTTCTATACCCCTAATATGATGTTTCATATTCATATTTCGACCTAAGGTGACCCCCAGATATTTGACGGCTTCCGTCGTTGTGATGCTTACACCTGCGATGTCCAGACGCAATTCTTTAATCTTCCTCCTTCCAACTAACCACACTGCTTCCGTTTTTTCGGCAGCTAGGTTTAAGCCTCTTTCTTGTAGCCACTCCCTAATATTGTGTGTCGCGATCCTGACTCCCCTCTGTATATCTTCCTCACTTCTTCCGCTCACCACGATCGCAAGGTCGTCGGCGTATCCTATTGCTGTTACTGTCTCTGGCTGCTGTATGTTCAAGACCCCGTCATAAAATAGATTCCAGAGTGTCGGCCCCAGAACCGACCCTTGTGGTACTCCCATTTTCATATTAATCCTTTCGTCTTCGTTCACCCATATAATTCTATTATCCAGATAACTGTTAACCACCTCAATTAAGTATCTGCTAATTTCCCATTCCTCCAGGACCGCTACAATCCCTTCCCAGTTTACCGTGTTGAATGCATTTTGAATATCTAAAGTGACCATTACACAGCATTCTTTTGTCCTATAGGCGCCGCTGTTTACATATTTTGTAATCCCCTTCACCTGTTCCAGTGCGTCTAAGGTACTTTTGCCTTTCCTGAATCCGTATTGCCTATGTGATAGGCTTCCCTTCCTTTCTATTTCCTCTAGCAATCTATTATTTAATAGTCTTTCGTATAGTTTCCCTACTATACTCAGCAGACAGATCGGCCTTTATAGTGCCTCTCCCTGTTCGTTCGATTTGCCCTTCTCTATTAATACTAGTTTCGCCTCTTTCCAAATATCCGGGAAGTACGAGTCCCTTAGCATCCTATTGTAGAGTTCCACCATATGTTCCCGAAACACCCTCACCACCAACCTGACGAATTCCGGGGTCATCCCGTCCAAACCTGGAGCCTTTTTCATTTTTAATATTTATCTACAGCTCTTTGCAGTTCCTCCGTTCCAAAAGGGGGGACTTCCTCTGCAGTGCATCTTCTTTTTGTCCAAGTTATATTAGCCGCTTCCGGGAAAAGGCTCTTCGCAATTTCCATCCTCTTTCGTTCGTCTATCTGTGGCGGTTGTCTTCCTCCCACCCTTTTAACTGCAATTTTATATGCATCCCCCCACACGTTTTCATTTAGTTCGTCCAGCAGGCCCTTCCAACATTTCTCTTTTGCTTTCAAGATCATTTGTTTTAACTGTCTCCTACCCTGCTTGTACTCCTCTCTTTTCAGATCGACGTCCTCTTGGCTTCTCCTTTTGGCGGTTCTGGTAACCTCCCTTCTCAGTCTGATACACACCCGTCTCTTCTCGGCTATTTCATCGTTCCACCAGTATTTAGCGCTTCGTCCCCTTCTCTTTATTCGTTTCGGGAACGTAGCCTCGCAGACGTCTGTGAGTACTCTTTGGAATTCCTCTAGTGTCATCGTGCTTGGTATAATTCTATTAAAACTTTCGGCCAGTTTTTCCTTAGCTCTCTCCAATAGTGGTGTATTGAAGTGCCATCCAAACCCTCTTCCTGTCCTTAATATCCCGTACCTTGGTTTACTCCTAGATACTTCAAAAAGAATATTTTTGTGGAGACTCAGGTTTTCCTCCTCGTCTACATCCCAGTTCGTTATTTTGTCTCGTAGGTTTCTACTACACAACGTAATATCTATATGGCTAACGCTACCATTTCTTTCAAAAGTAGGTTTTCCATTATTTACCACATTTAGATCTTTTTCAGCAATCCATTCCTCTATAGAGTTTCCCCTTAGGTCTGCTCTAGGCGCCCCCCATGTAGGAGACTTAGCATTGAAGTCCCCTACAATCAAGATTTTTTCTGGAGTCCTCTCCCTGATATCTCTATCTACCGACCGGAGGAATATCTCAAAAGCCTCCTGTTCCTTATTAGGGCTGAAATAGCAGGTGTATATATATATATCCCCGCATCGCGCCCAGGCAAAACCATTGCCCCCACCTTTACCATTGAACTTCATCCTCCCATTACAGAACCTAAGAGCTACGTCTTTATCCTTATCTGTTATCCATCCCTGGGTTCCAACTCTATTTTTATTTGGTTCCGTCACAGCTAGAATATCTATGTTCCGCTCTAAGACTGTCTGTTCTAGGAGGTCCATTACTGTCCTATCTCTTCCCGCATTTGTATACAAAAACTTAATACTTTCCATAAGTAAAACTATAATACTATATGACTACGATAAATAAATAAACAAATAATAGATAAATAGCCGTTATTTTTACCTTGTCTGTCTAACGAAGAAGACTGGTCGTATCAGTATCTCCTCTTCTTCTTTAACAGAAGTCTCGTCCTTCTCAGGGCGTTTCTGAATTCCGGGCATGTACCTGATCCTGCCATATGCCCCTTTCCTTCGCACGTTAAGCAGCTCGTGGTCTCCTGCCTGCAGTCCCTTGCCAAGTGACCCTCTTCTCCGCATCTTCTACACGTTACTTCCCGTCTAGCTTCCTTTATCTTGCATTCCATCTGCCGATGGCCAAACTTCCAGCATCTAAAGCATTGGTTCACGTTAACTCTTTCTTTAACTAAGCAGTTGCTCAGGNAAAAAAAAATAGTAATTATGGAGGGCCCACGACCGGACCGGTCCTAAAAGTTGTTAAAAGAATAGTAGTTTGAAATAGAAAATTTTCACAAAAATCGAAAGATACACTCACTTTCAAAAACACGATTTAAAATTTTAAACTTAAAAATCTTAATCAAAAACACTTTGAATATTTCTTTTGTATTTTTATCTGTAAAGGCCATCTAAAAACAAATATTTTTATAAAAAAAAGCTTTAATTTGGACCATTATTAAGAAAGTTATGATCAAAAAACCAAAAAAAGAGCGTTTTTTTGAAAATTTTATATCTTTTGAACAAGTAATCAAAAAAATCTGAAAATTTACCAGAAAGGCTTTTTTGAGGGGTACTAAAAAATATAAAAAAATTAAGGAAATCGAAAATTAAAATTTTTCGAATCGTCCGATTTGGCGTGGAACGCCCCATATATATATATCCCCGCATCGCGCCCAGGCAAAACCATTGCCCCCACCTTTACCATTGAACTTCATCCTCCCATTACAGAACCTAAGAGCTACGTCTTTATCCTTATCTGATATCCACCCCTGGGCTTCAACTCTATTTTTATTTGGTTCCGTCACAGCTAGAACATCTATGTTACGCTCTAAGACTGTCTGTTCTAGGAGGTCCATTACCGTCCTGTCCCTTCCCGCATTTGTATACAAAAACTTTATCATTATACTGAAGAAATCACAGAATTTTGCCAACGTATCACATACTATATCACAGATTATTTACAATATCACATTCGTACTTGCACTGACTGGCCCGTGTAGATTCCTTTTTAATTTCCTAGGGATCAGTACCTTCTCTTTTTTTTGCTAGGAGCCTCGACCTTCTCAGGTCGTTTCTAAATTGCGGGCACGTACCCGAACCTGCCATGTGCCCCTTTTCTTCACACGTTAGACAACTCATTGCCTCCTGTCTGCAATCTCTTGCCAGATGTCCCTCTTCCCCGCATCTTCTGCATATTACTTCCCTCCTTGCCTCTCTAACATTGCAATCCATCTGTCGATGGCCAAACTTCCAGCATCGGAAGCACTGGATTACATTTATTTTTTCCTTTACCGAGCAATTGCTCAGGTCTATCTTAATATTTCCTCTCTGTAACAGTCTTTTCGCTTTACTCTCCTCCAAAGTCACCGTGACCGCTTGGTTCCTCCCGTAGAAGGGTCTCAGCTCACCGATCTTGCAGTCCTTTCTGTACATTTCCAGCTCTGTGCTTAGCCTTTCCACGACTTCCTCCCTAGTTGTGATTCCATCAATTTCCTTTATGAACAGCGTCCTTTCCTTTCTGGCTCCTATTATCTCAGTCCTTATGTCCTCCTCTTCTACCTTTTCCCTAATTTCCCTAGTCGTATTTCCGTCATCTTTATTAACCACCAAAAGTAGATCCCCACTTTTTGATTCCCTGATAGTTCTAATTTTTTCAACCAGGTTCGGCTCTGGGTCAATCCTCTCCTTAACTTTTTTTAATAGTTCTGCGTTCGTCTGACTACCTTTCTTAATAATAATAGCCTCCGTGTCCCTTTCCTTCCGTTGTGCGGGCTTCCTCCCCCCCAGTCGTCTTTATTTTGCCCTCTTCCTTGGGTAAATATATAATACACTTGATATTTGTGTTCCTGAAAATACATTCTGCTTTCTTCCGTGTGTTTTTGCCTTCGTTGTCAGTCATTGGTGGGTAAATGGCAATCTTTTTCCTATCACCTTCTATCATTTTTTCTTTCAGCGCCTTCAGGGACTCAAACCAGTCATCTGCGTCATTTATTAGATTCACCTTTGTGATCCACCTTTTCTTCATCCTATGGGTTTCAGTATCATCCATTATCTTCTTTGTTGATATTACGGTTCCCATTTTGCCATCGATTTCCAACAACTCCGGATATCTCTCCTCGAAGAGGCTTGTCATCTTTTCGTCCTCTATTTTTATTATTATTTATTTATTATTATTTATTATTTATTATTATTAACCTCACCTAACCTAACGCTATGCTTTATTTGAAGCTCAACAAAAGAAAAATCAAATTTAGTCAAGATATTATCCACGAAATTTGGGATTTGAGTTTATCCCGTGCTGGCCGTTCAACCGATGCTAGAAATGATTAATTGATGATGGCTGACAACTGTTCTAGACTGAGCTCGATCGACTAACTTGATCGACTGACTTCATGTACGGACTTCATCGACTGACTCTTCCGTCGTTATTTTTCCGGTTTTTATTTACTTTCGGCGGGAGAAGAAGCGTGCAAAGCGGTCTGATTGGTCGGGGGCGTGGCCATATTTATATAGCCCCACATATACCCTCGAGCGCGGTAACGAACTGCTGCATTCTGTACTGAGAGCTTGGATCGTTAGGAGCTTCTGCATGTATTTGATATTTAATTTTATTGAAATTTTCCTAATAATACAACAACACCTTTAATGACTCGTAGATAGGTGTGACCTCTCGCATGGCTTGGAGAGTACTGGACATACAATGCTTGAACCTCTCGCACATGCGTAAGATCACGGAACATCCAATACATTGGATGTGTAAACAAAAGTACAGAACATACCGGCGGCCTTGAAAGGCTACGCTCTTTCAACAAAAATACATATTTAAATATTTAGATGATATGAATAATTAACATGCAATACTTAAGGGTCAATAGGTAAGACACAAATGTTAGCAACACCTCGTCGCACTATACCACTAGCGGTTTTAACGTCCACTACGCGAGTAACGCCATATTGGTCAGGAAAGATTGCACACACGTCCCATTTCCACTGTAGAGGTGGAGCGTGCTCATCTTTCGGCAGAACCATGGCTCCTACTTGAACTCCACCGACCTGCAACTTCCATTTGGTGTGTTGGTGTAAGGAATTCAAGTATTCATTGGACCATCGCGCCCAAAAGTGTTGAAACAATTGCTGTAAATGTTTGTACCGTGATAATCTGTTACATGGAGTGTCCGTGACGTCATCTTGAGGAAGAGCTGTGAGCGGTTCGCCGATAAGGAAATGACCAGGTGTGAGATATAGGAAATCATTGGAGTCATTTGACAATGGGGTTAGAGGGCGAGAATTTAACACAGCTTCCACTTGCGTCAATACTGTATAAAATTCTTCGAAAGTTAAAAATTACTTATTGAATATTCGTTGGAGATGGTATTTTGCCGACTTCACTGCGGCCTTCCAAATACCCCCGAAATGTGGTAATCTAGGTGGAATGAAGTTCCATGATCTAGCATTTTGAATAATGAATTCTCGAAATTTTGAATTTTTATGTAAGTCAGAAAGCAAAAGTTTTAATTCGTTGTTTGCGTCAACGAAATTGGTGGCATTTGTCGGTATAAATTGCTTTGCATAAACCACGCCTTGAAACACTTAACAGGTAACACTTAACGATCTTTCGATTTCAATATTTGCCATCTTTAATTAAAAAACGGCCCAGCAAAATCCATACCTGTGGTAGAAAAAGGCCTACTGGGTTTTAATCTTGCTAGAGGTAAATTACCCATTTGATGAAACGTGTCAATAGGTTTGGCCTTGAAACATATGATGCAAGGTTTTAAAATGCCGCGAACTGTGCTTCGACCGTTTAAAATCCAATATTTTGACCTAATATCATACAAAGTAGCTTGCATTCTACTGTGAAGGTGTCTGATGTTCGTGTAAAATTAACAAACGTGTAAAGGGATGCCGATTTGGTAATACTATCGGATATTTACTACTGTAGGGCAATTCAGACAACTTTAGTCTTCTACCGACGCGAATTCCCTTGTCATCTAAAAATGGATTTAGACAAATTAATTTGCATTTAGGATCGACTGAATTTGAATGTGATAACGATTTGATTTCAGCTGCGAATTCATTAGATTGAACTATGCTTATCAACTTATATGTAGCAGACTTCAACTCATTTATCGATAAAGGGCCTGTTATTTTATTTTTTGCAAGACCAGTAGTGTTATGTCTAAAGCGAAAGCACCACGCTACTACTTTCTGCGAAGTTGTGAGTGATGAAAATGTGTCAAAAATGTTGATTTTGGTGTTGTTATTAGTTAATGAAACTTTAGGAGTCTTTCTTTCTGGTATATTGACAGAAGACGATGCGTTTGGATAGGCCCATGATTCCTCGCTTAAAGTCAACCAATGAGGGCCATGCGACCATAATTTAGAACTGGCTAAATGTTGCGGTATTGCTCGTCTCGAAATAATGTCTGAAGGATTTTCCTCAGATTTAATATGTCTCCATTGATATTGATCAGTTAATTCCTGGTTGTCTGAAACGCGATTTGCTATGAATGTATTCCACTGACTTGGCTCACCTGCAATCCATGCCAACGTAATAGTGGAATCGCACCAAAAAATGATTCTGTCAAATTTAATATTAATGGAATTAATTACCTTGTGCGTTAATTGAGCAGCTAATAGAGCGCCGCACAACTCTAAACGTGGTAAAGATATTCTTTTTAATGGTGCAACGCGAGATTTTGCACATAAAAGCCTTGCAAAATAATTGTTGCTTGCGTCGGTACAACGTATGTAGACACAAGTGCCGTAAGCTTGTTCTGATGCGTCGCAAAAGGTATGTAATTGTATAGAAATTGAATCTGAACAAATGACGTGTCTAGGTATTTTTAAATTATTTAGTGAATGAATTTCATTGTAAAATTTAAACCAAGTAGTATACAAATCAATGGGTATGGCTTCGTCCCAATCCAACTTGAGATGCCAAAGTTGTTGCAAAATAATTTTAGCTGTGACTACGACCGGGCCAACAAGTCCTAACGGGTCAAAGATTTGTGAAAAAAGCTGCAATAAAGGCTTCACTACTTAGATCGGATGCAAGTTCTAAGTGTATGGCTTTTGTAGCG